ATATATATATATAATATTTCACCGTTATCAGGAAAAGGTTATCGGCCAGGGTAACCAGTGAGTTGCCAGGGGATTAAAAACCGCTAAAAAATACTTAACGTAATTCATAGACGGCCCCAATCCGTATTGTAGCAGTGCATCTCATGCGTCATACAAGAAGGGCCTATTTGCGCATAGCATAAGCGGGTACCTAAACATCAACATGACTCATCATAACTAAAGCGTAGAGGGCATATGGATAGGATGCGACCGTAGTTTGCCAATCAGATATAAACCAACATTCGTGGTAAAGGGGCAAATGGCAAGCACCATGAAACATTGCACTGATTTAACAGCCACCATTGTTTTGTCGTCACCACAGCTATTGTGAGGGTGGTGTACTGGCATTATTTAGCGGCTATTTGCCGTGAAAAACGGCAATTGTCATGATGAGTATGCTTACAGAATGTCGTCATGTATTCTAATGCACTATCAAGACTGTTCACTACTGATACTACACCGCAGACAAGATGCAAGCTTCTTAAAACGACAGCAGATTGGAGCGGGCAGTGCAATGATGTCTAGCCTGCACGAACTGAGATCTGACCTCCCACATGGCGTTTATCCTATGTCTTGCATGACCCTCTACCACGTTGTGCAGGAGCTGGTATATTTAATCCACCGTTTCGACCTTATCTGTCTGCTATCCGTCATAGGTACAAGGCTACTTCACCCTTTAACCACATTTCTGACTGGTCTCTGGCTTTCACAACCGCTATAGACAATATCGTCATCGCTGTAAATTCGCACCCCTTCTTTGCGTCGCCGCCGGTCCACAGTTCCACGTCCTGTTCAGTCCCCTCCCCCTTCTGCAGCCCCCCCCCCCCCCCCCTGTGCACGGCCTCCTTCCCTGCCCAGCTGCGGCTGGAGTGCCGTCTGTGTTTTCAGAGTGACCCGCTCGCTCGTGCTGGCGGTGACATTGCCACTCCCCTGAGCTGCGCCCGTCCGCGCCGGCCTCTGTCTCCGCACGCGGCTCTTTTTCGCTGTCCATTGCACTTTCTGCCCGCCGGCTATTTATCTAGGCGGAGGGAGCGATCGTAATTTGATTTCTGACTGGCGAGCTTGTTTGTTTGCCGACTGTTCGGTCGGTAATTAGGCCCTGAAAACCGGCGGCAGCCTGGCGACCCGGCGCCAAGACAACCGCCGCGACCGCGGCCGCGTGCCGACCCCAGACAGACAGGCTACAGACTGGAGGTGGCCGCCGCCGGCCTCAGACAGACAGGCTACAGACTGGAGGTGGCCGCCGCCGGACAGATTGCCGAGCAAGCCGTCTGACAATGGGCAGAATGGAGCGTTCGACCAACGGGATTATGTGGTGGGTGGGTTCTGGCGGACAGGTTGATGTGGTGGATGGGTTATGGCGGACAGGTTGCGGTGGAAAACTGACCGGTGATGCCAATACTGTGGTGTCCAATGGAAGCTAAAAAAAGGGAGGATGACTGCACAATACCACTGGCGGTTACGCAGTGGCTTCAAATGGCTGCTGATGGACAGAACGCGACTGTGAATGGCTGCTTATGGAAAAATTACTTGTTACTGATGACGGACCGGCAATGACTGCCAATGACTAAGGACGCACATACTGTGCTTGCAAATGGATCATGAAGAAAAGAACGGGAGTTCAAACGGCTGCTTATCACGTTTGTGAGTTTAAGTTAAAAGTCATTGCTCCACAGCTGTATTTTTATCCAAGATAGCCATTTCAAGAGCACTGACTGTAACTTACTTTTATGCCCGTTTCGAAGGCTTAGACCCTCTGCTTTCTGACGTAGGCGATCGCAAATTTGTACAGACTATTTCGCGCCGCCTAAATTGAATTCGCCTCGAGATGCAGGATGTCACAGAGACGTCAGGCGAATGCCGCCTCCTCAGTGGTTATCCTGTGTTCAAGGCCAAGAAAATATTACTATTGACTCATGCGTGTATTGAGTATGTCAGCACGTATCATCGCATCAACGCGAAGCATTTAGCTTTCAGTCAGCTTAACGCGTAAAAGCAGGTATTTATCACGAACCGCGTTTAGTGATGCATAATGCAGGCAATTGGGCAATCGTTTAATAGTGATGATGGACATGAGGCTGGGAATCAAATAAGTTCAGAACAGTGCTGTGACCGAAAATGCAAGTGCATGTGAAGACAGAAAATCACGGATGAGTCACGGATTGCATGTGCAGTCACATACCAGAACGCCACGAGAAAGGCCCAAAACAATCACACATCACGATTGTCGGGCCTACCACGCGCGCATATATTAGCAAGCCATGCAGCGGCAAGCTGAAGCACTTCAAATGGGTCAGCCCGTCCGCTACAGTGGAATTTCTACCGCGGCTAGTCTAGCAGTGACTCTGATATCATGACAATATACCATGACGTACTCAAAGGATGGCGTATTGAAGAACATATGTACTAAACAGTGAATTTTGCTAACTAGAGCAGTCTTTCACACTTCGAAGCATGCCTGCAGTTACAAGTTAGCTTTTTCATCTTATCTGACCCTTGCGTCAATGCCTTCAGGTGTGGAACATTCATTTCCTTTAACTTATGTTCCACATATGTCCCAGACCTTTCTCTCAAATTTAGGAAAAGAAAAGCCCGGCACCCTTTCAATCACAAAATCAACGTCTTGTTCTGCAAACGCTGCAAAACAAAAAACACCCTATTCCACCAGATAGGGTGGCGTGAATTTTTATGAGACATGATAGCCGTGATGTTATGCATATGCATTTTTGTCTCTGGATGGTTGAGCATTGTCCGTTTCTCGTATAATCAGGTTTTTTAAATACAATAGCAAACAATATTTTTTAGGATAAGTGTGACAAGCAGCTAATCTGGCTCCCATTTCCTCTATCTGAAACTTAACAGGGCATCAAGGGACAAAGAGAACTGTTCAGAAATGAGCAAGGTGAAATGTGTAGTCGATGACATTTCCGACACACATGCCTTGTTTCGGTTTGGTTCCCGTCATGCTAAGGTGTTGGCAGTTTGCCTAGGTTCCTACATACGCTACCAACGTGTTCACCGTGCTCGGCGACTCTTCGAAGGAAGCAGGGTCGGCCGCCGGTACGGCAGCTAGTTTGTAGCTGTTGTGTCCTTTTCGCCACCTGTTAAGTTCTCATACAATTGCACTCCTCTAGGAAACCATATCGAAGGCAGTTCATTTCCATGTGAGTGATCAAGATAATGATTCCCTACTAAAGCTTTGGCAGCAAGGTTATTTTTTCCGTGTCCTATGAACACTGACGGGGCGAAAAGAACCTTCACTCACGCACCATGCTGGGTAGGGAAGTGCCCACACACCTAAACCACTGGTCCCAAGTTAGCGGGGAATTTCATAGGCTAGCGGAAATCTTGAAACTATCAAATATCGTGAAAGCAAGCATTTGCTCTGTGAAATAGATGCACTCCCAGGATAGACCATTTTTTTCCGATGGCGAAGTGAAAAGGTTGTGAGTGAGTGGTGCCGCTGAGTGGTGTATTCCCTGATGATGTAATTTTTCACTGCTCCTTGGCTTTCTGGATCTCACGCTGCATCCAGACACGAGTGTGACACAAAATCCTGATTTGCATTGCAGCGACACTGCTCTCCTGAGCGCTCTCTCATCTGATGCTCCTGACATGCCTCCGCTGGTGATCGAACCACCAGGTGACCACCAGTGGATGGTGGTCGAATGAAGCGCAAGCCCGATGGAATAATCTTTGGAGTAATAGCCTGTAGTAACTATTTGTAAAACGTAAAGGAAGGATGTCAGGTTTGCCAGACATGCAGCAATGCCATTTTCTCATCAACCGTCTTATTTTTACAATGTCAGCCGTAGCAGCGAATACAGCCATGGCTGAAACTTAACACAGGCTGTGGTCTGGAAGCACCCCGGAAGTACGTGTGTGATGCCGCACTACAAACACGCCTGCTGCCACGTTAAGAGGCTCGCAAGGCCTGCCCAAAACTGATGCATCATCAGGCTTGCAGGCCTCTGGGTCCCTTTCACTTCGGGGCCCTCGTCAAAAGAGAGTGTCACTGCTGCTGGAGGTGGAGCATGCATCCAGTGGAGTATCCGGGATCCCCGCACCTAAAACGGCAGTCACGCTGATCTATGCAGCTCACCTTGAACGCATGACGGGGCTCAGAAGCTCGTAGACTGCTGCTGTCGGGCCGCATCTATCCGTTGACAGTTCTAGGAACCCTCAAATTACTGACCAAAGCCTCTTTCGTTAAGCTCCCGCTTGACAGCTCTTTTAAGCCGGCAGCTGGCCACAGCAGCCGAAGGGCGAACGACGGTGGGCCACCACTTTAATCAGCCCCGCCCCCTGCTACCTCCCCCACCAGCCGCCCCGCCCTCGTCGGCGGCGGCACGCGGTCGGCAGGGAAGCGGCCATTGACGGAGCGACGCTCGGGGGAGCCGCGATCACCAGTGACCCTGCCGCCAGGGACCGACCCCGGTCGCCGGCCTGAGACACTGCTCGAGCGTCTCGCCCACATGCCGCTAATTATTCCAGCTGTCTGTGGACCGGGCATTAGCCAGCGCCGCACACCGTCCAGCCGTAAATGAAATGCATCAATTAGTCACACACATATTTGCGTTAAGTACAGGCGTGGCCGAGCGACGGCGGTGTCCGGCCGGCCGCGGCGGGGCTGGGTGGCGCTGCGCGAGCTGCCGCCGGCCGCGCCGCCCCCAGTGCAGTGCCGCAGCTGAACGCCCCCATCTGATTGCCTCTTGCCACAGCCGGTCACCGCTTATTTAATTGAGATTCCTCGCAGCGAGTTAGCGCGCCGACCAGTCGGCGTCATTTATCACGGCTCGCGCGCACGCTGGCCGGCCGTGCGCCCGATTTTCATCGGCGTCATCGGCGAATAATTGCTAATTTGGCGTGACTCGGCGGCCGTCGGCGGCGGCGCGGCCGTCGGCCGTCGGCCGCGTCGGCCGCGGCGCGGCGCAGTGTCGTGAACGACGGCGCGCGGTGCGATGGCCCGGCCGAGCGCACTGCTGCGCTGCGTCGTGGCCGTGGCCACGCTGGGCGCGGCTGTCGGCAGTACCCACGCCTCCCGAGGTAGGTGGCCGCCGGGCAGGCGGCGCCGGCCGTGCTCTGGACGGCGCACGCACGGCCGGACTCCCGCAGCCGGCGGCGGCTGTTCCTTCCGGGTGGCGGGAGAGTGGCCCTCTGAGAATCCTGGTGGAGGTCGTTCCAGCAGCGTGATGAGGCCTTTTTACATGTAAGCGTAGGTGTAGGAATAGGAGGCCGAAGGTCTCATACCCCACTTTACATGAAAGTTTACCTTAAATGCGACAATACGAAAAAATGGACTGAAAAGTAGCCGGGGCCCTCATACCGTTCGGGACTTCCCCACTTCTCCATATTTCGGAGGGCTCAGCCTGCTCCCACAGTGTCTGAACTTTAGCACCGGACCAGGGATGGCGCTGTGTGAAAAGAATCGGCATTGAACACCGGGCTGCACCGAAATAATTCTGACAATGTCGGAGTGCTGCACGGCGGACTGGTCCCGGCAGTGGTGGCCGCCCCGTCCCACGCCGCCGCTCGCAGACCGCGCTGCCGGCACGACGGTGCCGGGCGGGGACCTGACGCCACTCTGTCACCAGTGCGATCCGCCGTACCCGCAAGCGCGCCGCCCCGTACACAGATGACTGGTCGCGCACCGCCAAATGCCTGCCAGACAGGCAGGCGTGCAGGCGCTCCCCATACTGAGCTCAGATGCTGCTGCCGCCGGTGGGAGACTATCCCATCCCTTAATCAGTCATGAAGAAAGCACCTGAGAATGTCAGCTACAATGTGAGGAGCTTGAGAGGGCACTTGGGTTGAAGATGGGCGGGCAGCGAATGTCGGCACCTGATTGTATGTTGTTACATACAAGTTCATTTGTTGTATGACAGCTCATTCATACGGGAAGGTTAGTGGGTGACGTGCACCTGCCAGAAATAAATCGGAAGTTACTGCATTCTGCAGGCGGCCAGCTGCTCATCTTGAACTAACTCCCGACCAATTAATTGTCGGGCATGTGGGCGGGAAATGCCGCATGACAGGTGTGATAAGGGGCCACACCAACTGTCATGAGAGGGATCCCGGCTTCATAACTTAACTTACTCAAAGATTCCCGCTCCGACAGCTTTGAAAACTAACATTGTCAACATCCTTCACAACAGTTTACAGATATTGCTTGAATAACAGCTGTCATTCTGAATATTTTACTGCCCCTTTTTGCCACGATTTTACGCCTCCCATGGCTGTGGGAACGGGCGCTAGCGCAAGGGTCAAACCTGCCCGATCTTAATCAAGCAGATGGGTCGGCATCCCCGCGCGAGGGGCTGGCTGCCAACCTATAAACATTACTGAGTCTGCGCCAAAACGATACGCGATAGCACACTCAAATTTGGCGCAGTTGGTGATGTGTTCATTCTACATGTTCTAAAAAGTGGTTCAGCCCGAGGTCCTGTTAAGCCTACTATCCAGACGCTATTTACCACTGACTTGGTTACGGAGCTTGCAGGCAGGACAGCAGTTTTTAACTATCCAGAGTGAGAGACGCAGTGCTTCTGTAAGAGCTTAACAGGACCTTCTCTGTACGGGATTTAAACTGTAACTTACCCGGCAACAGTTTTGAACACAGCAGGGCTTATTCCAGACTTTCTGCGCATTCAATCTCTGCTCAAATAGCCGACGCACCATTCATAAAACAGACTCTGCTTACAGGACTATTTTCAAGCTGAGGCCCGATTTTTACGTTTGGCAGCTCCGTGTGTGACCCAGTAAGGCATATTTTTTAGTATGGCGTGGTAGCTTTCTTCTGGAGTGCTTACACGTTCACCCCTGGTCGTCGTTATCGCGATATGCATGTTCAGTGCGTTTGCATCGCATTGTGCGCACACCGACTGCCTGAAAGCGCTTCCTCGCGAGAGAGGGTCGGACAGTAGACCACGTCTCTGGCGTTCTGTAGCCTATTTTGAACTTGCGCACTTAAGGACGCGCGTTAAGGCCTATTAACCTATTCGTCCCACCCCGTCTGACTAAACACGTTTGCTCACTGGGGGGCAATGTCAAATGTCCTCCGAACTCACAAGGGTTCGGAGGACATTCCTGAGAAATCGCTCAGTATCAACCTTTGGGTTCAGCGGGAGCTATGAGCCTGATGCCTCCCCCTCCCATGACCATGTCCCGCAGGGGCTATGAGCCTGGAGTCTCCCCCTCCTATGACCATGTCCTGCGTAGCTATGAGCCTGGAGTCTCCTCCTCCTAAGACCACGTCTCGCGGGAGCTATGAGACTGATGCCTCCCGTCCCATGATCACGTCCCGCGGGAGCTACGAGCCCGATGCCTCCCCTCCCATAATCACGTCCCGGCGTCCCACACATCGATTTGTTGAGCACCCTTCCCTCCCCCCCCCCCCCCCGTTCCATCGCAGACGTCTCGTCGTGACAAGCTATACATAATTTGCTGTCTTTTTGCAGTTTAAAAACGAGCCAAGTCCAGCTTTCGCCACGTCATGAGCTGCATCGCTGCCGGACCTGTCAGTGAGCGAAGCCCCATTAGCATCTTTAAAGACATGCGCCAAACTCTGGAGTGCGAAAGTTGGCACACCGAGCCGTACCTGGTGACGCTGCGATGTGCTAAGCCACAGTTTGTCGTGACTTGCTCCAGGCTCGCCAGTGAAATCCTGGCACTGACAAAACCCAATAACATTCTTGCAGGAAGTTCGGTGAAAGACGTCTGTGCTTCAAGCGTCCTAGCGTCCCTCGATCCGTTAACGAGCATCTGTCACACTCCATTAACGTGGAGATCATTGGAATGCCCGATAACTACTTCATCCCAGTGCCATTTCCGCAACCTGCATTCTGTTCGGAATCAGCTCATTTTGCCGCCGCCGAATTCGTCAAGCCTCTTTGACCGTCAGATTGTATCTGTATCAGCATACCTGTCATGGTGTTTAGGTAAATGCCATCCCAGTGGTAGCGGTTAGTACGCTCGGATCGTCTCTCAGAAGGTGGCTGACGTAGCGGGCCGACGTACATCGCCACGAGGGTTCATTTCCCGCCTGAGGCCCCGTATTGTCCAGGTAGGAAGGCAGACCTCCGTCGCGAATGGCCGAGTCATAATCACGCACAAATCACAGATCCTTGGTACCAATGGGTCAATAGGCTGCGGAGATCCAATGTAATGTATCCGGTGTGATCCAGTGTGATCCAGTTTGTGATACAGTCACGCGTGCCTTCTCGGAGACTACGCGCTACGCCCGAACTGCAACTGCATTGGATTGACGATCACCTCAGGAGACGTCACGATGCACATCCAAAACGGCGGCCCAAAAACATACGGTGTCTCATTATAAATATTGGCTCACCAGAAAACAAATGGTAGACAACCCCATTATGGTAGAGAGGTGCCACAGAGTGGGGAGGCTATTTGTGCTTGAGGCTGCATACATACGCAACATGGACCCATTTTTCAACATGCAAGTCAACGCGAAGGAAACCCTAGCCCTTTCCGCAGGGGTAGGATTCAAAGAAGGGTTGGGTCCACGGAAAACACCTGATACCTTAATATAGCATAACGACAAAAATGACTTTAGCGGGAGGTGATTTAGCTGTTTGAAATGCGCTTCGATGAGTTCTTGCTCTTAAGTGGCAAAGTGTCCTGATTATACCTAGCACGTATCGCGTGTTCGTAAAAAGCGAAAAGCAGCGCCCGGGCGTTTTGTAAGCCGCATCAAAGCAACGGTATAGGGTTTGGACTATACGTTAAATTAACCAGCTAATCACAAGCCATGCTGAGTGTTACTTACGCTATCGTTTAGGACGATGATTATTTTAAGTTCTATGTTTTATGCACTGTTGAATGTCGAGAGAATGGCTGAGTGCCGACGAAGAATAAGAAAAGAGACGGTGAAGTAAGTTGTTTAGTGCATTGGCGAGGAACATTATGTATGTACCGATAGGACGGTACCAATAGCCTTATTCTTCGTAGAATAACCAGGATAATGGAGAGACAGATGGATTCGCATTTTGGCTATATACCTTTACCGAAGCAAATATCAGTAATAGATTTAAAATTGCCTTTGATTTTGGCAATTTTACAATTTTGGCAACATATGCAACTTGAATTTTCTATCGATGACCGTTTCGATGAAGGCCTGCAGCCGAAACAATGTTCCATCTATCTTTCCATTCTCCTGGTTATTCTACGAGGAATAAGGTTATGAGGAATATCTTATCTACGACAGCACTGATGTGGTTTGCTTGAACTGTCCTCACAACGAGTTTTGCTTCTGTTCTTAACAAGTACGGCCCAGAAAGTAAACATTTGATACGCAAGATTGAAAGCACATTTCGGTAGATGGCAAGAAATGAAGCCGCTGTTATATATATATATATATATATATATATATATATATATATATATATATATATATATACCTTCATATAAGAAGTACGTGTTCACCTGTCGGACAGATAGCGTAATAATGGGGTCAACATAAAACGCTTGTAAGTGCGTGGGAATTTCAAGTTACGCGTAATATTCTTATCTAGATAGCGTAATGCTGGTAGTCTTCGAAGGATCCTGAAAAACCTACGGATGTGAAGCACCTAGTTTGTTTTCTGAAATACCAAACTACAGCAGTCTCCCATGACACGCAACAAACCAAAGGGAGGTTTGGATCCGAGGCAGCGCTGGGATTTTCCCCAGAACACCTACATTCGTTTGCTGCACATGGTAGCATAAGATCCTGACATTTACAATCTGAGGCAACGTTTTCCACTGTGTATTGAGGACCCTGGCTGGGGAATGGGCATAATAAGCATGTATGTTTCAGTCAACACAGAAGTAGACTTAGCAAAGATTAATTCGAACAAAAGTGTGTGTGTGTGGTGGGTGGGGTGGGGGGAGGGCAGTCAACATTGCTGCTCACTCCACCCCACCTTGGGAGTGGGGGGACTTTGGTACATTTCCTCCCTCCCCCTGTTCCTTTGCCCCTGAAATCAGGGGAAACATAACTAGAAGACCTTTATTCCATGACCTGTCATTTCATACCATTGTCATGCCCTAGTCGGTTCTGTAAATGACCTGCAATCCAGTAATCCAGCAGACTCAACATTCGCGGGCAGCTGCCTCGAGTTCGCGCCACGGGCTGCTCAAATCTATGCAAAATGACCTGCAATATTAATCGCCTGAGATCCGACCACACCTCCAGAGTTTAAGCCTTTGTGGAAAGTGCGCTAGAATCCCCAAGGTCCTGACTAACTCACCTATGACACCGTAGCCATGGTGTGGACCTCCCCAGAGGCGTCTGGAAATCTTCCACCGGTATCAACTTCAGTGTCTATTCAGCGAGCCTTTACTTTAAGGTAATTCAGTTGCGATGCAGCAATCGTGAGGCTCACTCCCCGCATGCTCCGGCAAAGGCGTGCACCCAATCCGACGATCAGCAGTCTAGCCGTCGCGGTGTCCGATCAGCAGTCTGACCGCCGCGGTGTCCGATCAGCAGTCTGACCGCCGCGGTGTCCGATCAGCAGTCTGGCCGCCGCGGTGTCCGATCAGCGGTCCCAGCGTCGCGGTGTCCGATCAGCAGTCTAACCGCCGCGGTGTCCGATCGGCAGTCTGACCGCCGCGGTGTCCGATCAGCGGTCCCAGCGCCGCGGTGTCCGATTGGCAGTTTCACCGCCGCGATGTCCGATTAGCAGTCTGACCGCCGCGGTATCCGATCAGCGTTCTAACCGCAGCGGTGTCCGATCAGCAGTCTAATCGCCGCGGTGTCCGATCAGCAGTCTGACCGCCGCGGTGTCCGATCAGCAGTCTGACCGCCGCGGTGTCCGATCAGCACTCTGACCGCCACGGTGTCCGATCAGCGGTCCCAGCGCCGCGGTGTCCGATTAGCAGCTTGACCGCCGCGATGTCCGATCAGCGGTCTCAGCGTCGCGGTGTCCGACTGGCAGTCCCACCGCCACGGTGTCCGGTCAGTGGTCTCACCGCCGCGGTGTCAGATTAACATAGCCACCGTTCCTTAGTCCCCTATGCAGCTCCCGAATGTTTTCAGCGCTCCGGGCAATGATATATGCCATGCATTTTGTGTGTGTCGACTTGCCCCATTTAACGTTCCTTATAAAAAAAAATCACGAAATATATCGGTTTAGCCATAATGTAAAGCCCAAACAAAGCGACCTAGAGAAAAGAAGATTGCAGATTCGTGAGTGACCCGTTGGGTCTGACCTCGGGAGGCTTCTTTGAAATCTGAACTCGACACCGGGCTCGAATACGACTGCGACGCTGACCTGACAGACATCCGCTCCTTGGCCGGCTACAGGCGCGTTTATGGGTCCCACAGTGCTCAGGTCGCTCAGCGGTCTGCAGATGACACAGCCGCGACGTTGCACAGCTGAGTCCGCGCGTTTCTGCCTTGGTTGTCGAAATCTAGCACAATTTCTTGAAAAGGCAGAACACGGACGGACCATGTTTGCATCGAAGCGTGCGTGACCGCCTGCACACATCGGTCTGAGCTTTCCTAACGCAATTTCTCGTTCCCTCTTCTGTGAAACGGTGTTGGAACAGTATCGACGTGATGCCGGTTCGCAGTTTTGATCCGTGTTGCGCATCTTTTTTGCAATTATCGGAATTCGCGTTTCCCATGTTAGTCGAATGTAGATTATACCCTATTCACATTGGAAACTCGCAGAAAAATGACATCTGGCCAAACAGCTGAAGTCGGAATATCTTAGAATTCACGCAACACAACTCTTACAGGTTTACGCTTCTCGTTGCTGGACACTGAACGAAGGTGTGATATGTGGCCTCACCTAAACAAACTTCCAGAAGGCACGCCAGTCGGCCAAGCCTGGGCAGAAATGCCCAGGACGCAGCTTTTTCGTTGTTTGAGTGTACAAGACTCGCGCAGTTTGTGGTCTCGCCCGCAACGCAAGAAAAGGTCTTATGTTGCGCGGAAATTGTGGCATCTCGCCAACACAGATGTTAGTGCTGTCCGTCTGGCACCTCCCATGATGGACTACCATCACGTGGGCCGACGGTCTGACACGTAAGTTGATCTCACATAGTTTTTATGTCACGTTGCACGTGAAATTTAGGTTTTACATAGCCTGAAAATGTTGCTTTATTCCACCTGAAAAGTCTGGCCTCCTAACTCACATATGCTTGCAGGACGATAATATGTAGAACTCAGGGTATCTGGCGACCTTTTATACTAGGCACCCATAAAAATGATTGTCTTCTAGCACATACCATATACGAGTGCTCCTCATCCAAGCCGATGTTCCTGCTGGCCGCAGAAGCCATATTCAGCCAGTGCATTACGCGGGCATCCGCGGAATACACCGGCTGCAAGGGTACATATGCAACACGGCGTGTCAATGCAAGGCGAATGAAGCCATCACAAATCAACTTGTGGCATCACTTTGTTGAAAATGTGGTGTAAACGCCAGGCCGAACACATTATCAAACTATTTAGAAAGCTACACTGTAGTCGAATCCTAGCAATGCATCATAGTAATTTTTACCCTATGTGCCCGCACTTCAGGTAGAATTTTAAGAATCGGTAACTTTCTGCTATTGCGGGGCAGGTTTACTTCAACGCAGTGACTACGTTTTCTCAGTTTGACACCACTCATCTTCGGGTGCGTGTGTCTTGTTTCTTATTTTCCAACATTTTATCGATTTTGCGTGGTTACGAGGCTTGATCTAATCTAGATCATGCGCCACACGCCAACAGAAATAGAAAATTCGTTTGTATTTAACATACGATGATACTTCAGTTCTGATAAAGACTTTGGACTATATACCGAGGTGAGGAAAGATTGTGTTTCTTCCAGGGCTGCAGAGCGGACTAATATCCTTGCTGATCGTTGGTCTGTACGGCGTGCAGTGTTAGGTGACTCTTAAAGTAGCAGAATGACAGCACACACTTCGGACAGAAGCCCTTTGACAGCACTGAAGAGGGCTCACAGCCGAGGCGTTTGCTGATCCCCTTGCTCTTTCAGGAGTACTGGGATCAGTACTGGGATCAGGAATACAGAGTGATGCGGCGCACAGTTGTTCTGTACGCCGTATCACTCTGTACAGCATACAGAGCAACAACCACCAAGAAGGTCTCTAAGAATGCCGCACACAGCCATCAGCCGGGCTCCCAGAGAACTCATACCACTGCAGAATTCGGCCTCCTATCTCTCTTTAAGTCTTCTTGTCAAGCACGCTGATCCAGCACGCCAGTGCATTAACAGCTTGGGGAACTCGACTAAGTTTGAACTGCTAATGAACAGATATGAAGCGTCGATTGCCATGAACTGTACGTGTGCGTAGCACTCACAGCCCAATACATACACAGCCACAGCCCTTCAGCGGTTCAGACTACGGCGTTCTGTATTCGAGATCGCTTTCGGAGGAGATAGCACCGGCCGCTCTTTCTGACGCACCCATACGTCGGATAAGTTCGCGATCCGCTTATGGCTACGGCCGGTCAGTTCGTCGACAGCGTGCGGTTGGTGGTCGTCTTCACTTGCCGAGCTTGTTTAAATATGACACTAGCCATGCAAAGTGACATCAAACGGGCGAATCTATGGTTTGTGCACGGCGATGCGGGATAGTTGGCACACATCAACCCCACTGCTGCTGGCAGCAATGTTCGTTTTCGCAAGGTGAAAAGTTTACCTTCTCCATTTCCCCGCGCCCAACAGTTGTGAGTTGGTACAGTGCAACTTGTACAGAAAGGACTTTGTGTGTCTGAAAAGTACGTGAACCCGCGATCTGTGGTTTATTCATCATAAAAATGCTCATTTCTAGAAAATATGCAGCTGAAGCTCAACATTTCAAGACAGGTTAAGATGGAACGTATGCTGTCGGCGGCCTCGCCTGTAGCGTTTTCTACACAAGGTCTATTCTACCACTACACAATCATTTTCTACACAGGTATCATTATAACAGCAGAAAATATCGCACCATTATCCTACAACAACTGACACGAGAAAGAAAGCCATACTCATGAGAACACATCAAGCCCCATAAGCATCTCTCGGTAAGGTAAGCTCAGCCGACAGCTCCAGCTGCCCCGGAGAGGCGAGGCGAGGGGACGTCGTCAGTTGTCCGGCTACGCCCCGGCGACAGTGCTCAGGGTTGTTTGGTTCGCGACGCCGGCTTCTCTGTTCACCTGCATTAGGCCTCTGCAGACACAGAGCAGCGCTGTGTGTACTGGCCATTGTCGCCAGGCGTGCGCCCTAGCTGCCGTGTTTGCCAGCCTAACGGCGTGCCAGGTGTCTCGGCGGTGAGTGGGCGGCGCCTGATCAGGGCCCCGGCGCCGCAGCGACGGCTGGTACAATGAGCACCCGGCCGCCGCCGCCGCCGCCGCCGCCGCCGGAGACGCTCGTTATTCTCACCGTTGGTCAGTCCCGGCTCTGACCCGCCCAGCATGCACGGCGCTGACACCGGCTGTCGGGCGGAGAGCGCTGCTGCGGATGGTGCACGGCACGGCAGGCAGGCGCCATTCAGCTCGCCCCCTAGCGCATGTGCGCCAGGCTAAAGCGCTCAGCTATGAACATGGGTTCCAGGCACGTTGCGAACAATTCTTTCTTCAAAAAACATGTCGTCTCAACAGGGCAGTCAGACTGATGACCGTTAAATAGTGATTGATTTGTTTCAGAGCAGCGCCGAAGTAGCGACATTGTCGTCTTGGAAAAGATGAACAACGTGACAGTGCCCATGGCTAGAGAGGCCAAGATCACTTGTCGCATCGCGAATCTAGCCAATCATAAGGTGAGCACGTAGTCCTACCAAAGATGGCCACCCGAAGAAATGGAGCGCCATCTTTGAAGACCGCACGCTAATTCTCCACTCCGCTGGGTGCTGCTCACAACAGCGGCGCACAACACGGGTCACGAAAAGTTAATCCAACGTTGCTATTCAATATCGATAACCAGTTGAGAATGACTAATGCAGCCATATCTGCGCCTGTCTGAACCAACGTGGAGCCGAGAACACTCAAGGCAGAATAAGAGTACGTGCTTGAGTTTCTGGCGAAGTCGGCCTACCGTCTGTATTCGGTATGTCAGCCGCGATGGGCAGTAGGAAGCGAAACCAAACAGAGGATTGGATTTGTTGTCATTCTTGCTTACCGTGTGAACCGACACTACTCTGAGCTTTAAAAAAGACGTTTTCTCATTAAAGATTTGTTCACGCTTTCCCGCGCCATTCTTTTCCCAATAGTTGCATTAAGAGGAATGTTCCACATTAAAGATATGAAAGCAGGCGTCTGATATGATCAAATAAATTCACTTGGAACTTTTTGTATCTTTTTTTCTCGAAAACCATCCACGGAGTGGCTATTCAGGCATTTGGCCCGTTACACCGCTTGCTAGTTTCTGGTCGCTACACCACTCATCCATTCGTTACAACACAAAGCAAAAAAAAACATGGAATGTGATGCTATGAAATATCCTTTAAAATACGATGTTACCAACTAGGCTTCAACACACGGTACGGTAAAATACGATACGATAAAATGCGGTTAGGCAAATACCACACGATAAAATGCGATGCGAGAAAGCACGACGAAGTCTTAATGATAAATCCAATAAATGTTCTAGGTTGACAACAGAATGTGCCAAACCTAGCATACACACATAAAATAGGAATAAAAAGGAATGGTAAATATACGGAATCCGTATTGACTTGCAAAGATCACAAACGTAAACACATAGGGCATACAATCACACTGGTAACCAGCATGAGCTTAAAACTAAGACGCGTGACCTTACATTTCCATTTTGAAATCTGAGTTTTTAATCCCGCAGAAGTCAGAGATGAACACGTAATGGAGGTCGGAAGCGGGCGGTTCCAAGTTGCGGCGGCACGATAATGAAAGGTTTGGTTGATGTCTTCCAATCGGCACCTGGGCAGGTGGAGAGACATTGACATGGAGTAGCACGTCTCCCTTAGTGAGACAGAGGAACGGGGTTTAAAAGGAGATTGGACAGCCGGGGGCGATTCTTTGCACCTTTTGGCTTTCAATATTTTCAACCGTCCCTCTCTTTCACCAAGTCATCAATTCGGGGCCAGCATAAATATTCCAGAGTCGATTTTATATGCTGGCTACGTTTTATGCCAGAGACAGCCCTGGTGGCAAAGTTCATAACTTTTTGAACCCTCTGCACCTGGCACGTGATCACGCCACCCCATGTGCATAGACAATAAGATATATGCGCAGCGCGTACGCTTCAATGATAGTTGTGAGAACATCATGTGTAAAGTAATGCCTGAAGCGGCAAAGCGAGATCAAGCCATTACATTTTTGCACGACTTTGGCGACATGCTTCTTCCACAAAAGCGTTGGGTCTACGATCGAAGCGAGAGCTCTGATGTACCGTGAAGGTGGATACCCTCTCCATCTGTCGTAAAGTGAAAATCACAGGTTTTCTTTAAATTGTGTTCTGAACCTACCAGAGGAATGTCGGTTTTGTCCTTGCGAGTTTTTAGTGACTGCGCTGGACGAGGCCTTAAGTTAGTAAATTGATATTCCAGGACGATATTTAAGTGCTTCGTGACTCTGGAAGGGTTGTGGTCCAGGAGCGGTGTGTCATCTACATATGGGATAAGGTGTCCATATAACAGGTGACTGGGGAAGTCGTTCATGAGCGAAGTGAATCGAAGAGGACCAACAATGGACTATTGGGGCACTCCGTGGATTACCGGGTGGGTCTTCAGTCCTCCACGCACCACCTGTCTCCAACCACTCAAATTATTTTTGAATCAATCAAGGTCCACTCCATAATACTGAAGTTTTGTTGTATGCCAACCATGATCAACGCTGTCGAAAGCCTTGGAGCTCGACAGCAGTTAGCGAAGATATCTCTCCGCTGTCGACGTTCCTCACTAGTTCTCCGACAGCTTCGAGCAGAGCGTTCTCAGCGCAGTGACCCTACCGAGAGGCATATTGAGCAGTGCTGAGAATGCCATTACTGTGAAGATACGTGGTCAGCTCCTTGCAACGGATTTTCAAGAATTTTGAATAGCACACTTAAGAAAGATACAGGTCTATTACTAAGTGGCACAATTACGTGCCCACCGGGGATAGTTCAGGAAGTGTAGCAGGCTTAAAAGTGTAGGAGGTCGTGCAGAGTTAGCGATCTGAGTGACTGTCCGGTGCTTCCTCTCAGTGCGGTGGCAACCCGGCACCAAACCGTCGCGAGATACCAGTTGAACTCGTCAGCCAGGTCAGGGTTTCCTTCTGACAGATCTTTCCGGTTGGCTGATGACGTCACGGCGAATCGCTTGGAAACGAGCTACAAATAGTACCGGTCATCAGGAGTCCTGGCATACAAATAGCACCGGTCATCAGGAGTCCTGGCATACAAATAGTACCGGTCATCAGGAGTCCTGGCATCGCAGATGAAATCAAATCTAGCAGCTATAATGGCACACGCAGCTATAACGCTGTTTCGAGGCCGAGCAAAGCCCGTGTGAGCCTCCTGGGCGCGCGCAGCCAGCCAGGTGTCCCTCGCTGTGTCCTGCTCGGCCATCAGAGTCAGAAGTTGCGGGCACAGGCAGGGTACAGCCAGTGGTAGCTGAGGCGCTTCACGCCAACCTTTTTGCCGCCATTGACAATCTATGACGCTGTTCCATATTTTCATAACTGCATTTGCCATTATGTTCACATCGCTGTTTTGTTTCATGAAGTTCCGCCCAGCCAATGGCGAGCAGGTCCAGGCAGATGACGTCCCAGTCAGCCCGGCGCCATCCCCAAGTCGTACGTTTCTGGGCTGGCTGTCTCGTCCTGTCCAGCCCCGCAGTGATGGTGACGAGCTGATGGGCTGAAGATCACTGAGAATGTCAGGCAGGACAGGGATCGTTGGTGGCTGGTAGAATTGATTAGTAATCACATGGTCAAGTGCCGCAGGCGTTGGTAGAACGTGGGTGGGCTGATCCAACCAATTGCGTTACGTTCAGGTCACTGATCAAGGTGAGGTACTGCTGGGTGCCTGGGATGATCATTGCCAAAACGTTAATGCTCAGGTATCCCCGAATAAACGCCGGTTTGATGGAGCAGAGCGCATCACGGAACTGGTCCTGTAATCGGTCAGACTTGCAGCTATCTATTGGTAGCTACTGGAATGCTTTTAAGTGCAAGAGACTGCTGTAGACAACGCAGTTTCACTATTTAGTAAATATACCCCTCAGTACGTCATCGTTTGATTACGTCATGGAACATTTGTATGAGCCAGAGTGGCTGCCAAACTGGTCGTGTGACATTGTCACCATAGCGGATGGGATGACTCACCTGCAGTACTTAAGCTTGCCAAGGAGTGTCGTGCTTATCAGCGCGTTATTGAGAGAACCCAAATATCGCTACATGCACTTGTTTTGGACCCTCGTCGTGATTGTGTTGCATATTAATCTACAGCTGTATATTGTTTACTTTCATCCACATGCTCAGTTAAGGCGCTATTCTGCAGGCCTTTTTTCTTATTCTCATTTCCGTCATTCCTCGTACTATTCCTTAACTTCTCGTACTATGTAGCACAAAGCGTGATTTATGTTCAAAACTTGCACAGCACGCATGACATTGGTTAAAAGCCAGTAAGAGTCGTTTAGTGCCAGAAATCGTGCTGACCTACGCCGGACACGACTAATATGACGACTATATTCATCTTGGCTTTGATCACCACATGGCCATTGGGGCGGCAGTATTTGCTTGACATTTTTATGACGTCATGCGCGCCTGGGTGAAATTGAATGGTCGCACGAAATAGTCTGCACAACTTCGCGCGCGTCTGGCTTAGAAACCATACCGCTAAAATCTTAAAAAGAGCGGGACTGTAAACTATGCACCGAATGATTTTCAAGATAGCTGTGTCAGGGCAAATCCCATACGAATGTAGAACGCTCCCTTTGAAGCAGGGGATGCGTAGCAGGGGTGGGTGACGGGAAGAGTGTATTTTTGCTCCCTCAAAATTTTTAGGTTGCGCCTTTTGCCATACTAAAGACATTATTACTACCCGCATATCACCAAAGTTCAAACAATGAAGGTGCCCCATAACTGAACTAGAGAGTAACGGACCGGGCTTAGAAGAAACTCTCCTACATGAAGAAGCCTGTTTTGTGGATCAGGACCAGGGGGCGGAAGTGTCGTGTTTCCGTATGAGGATGCCTTGTCTTAGGATAACGAAGCCCCTTGGCTAGATCTGAAGGCGCCCATCGTGATTCGGAAGCATCCTCTTCTGGATTAGGATGCTGCTCTGTATATTGGGAGGCGCTCTGCTGGAATACGAGGTCCTGTTTTAGCATAGTGAAACCATTGACTAGATCATCGGAAGGAACCCATTCTTGATGTTTCAGTTGTCGACATTTATTTCTTTGGCTATGATGCATGTGACAATTTTGACAAGGGGTGCCCGTCCCCCTCGGTGCCCCTTCCCTTTGAATACGACAGGATGCCCCCTGTGAGAAGAACTCATTTTGTCCAGGGCCGCTGGGAAATTCAGTCCTCCCCGAGCTCAAAATTTGTGACGCAGCTTCGGCATGAAAGTGTTTAATGCAAAGCATGGTCATGCCTTCTGAACGCATCATCCTGCTTTTACAGCGGTGCTCCGTTCCGACTCCTCGTGTCCATCGTCCAGAGATCTCTGCTGTGGCGACAGCAGCCTGCTGACCCATCCGACCCTCTATCCTGCCCTCCCCCATTCGTTGGCCGATGCCAGTGGAGTGGCCGTGGGCCGGCCGCGGACCGGCGCGGCGAGTTGGCGCTGGACGCCGTCTGT